AGCAATTGACAGCACTCTGATCTAGTGGCATACAGGCATCGTCAGATTGACAGTACTCTAGCCCAATAATGTTGGGGGATCCAGTGGGGGCGGCAGTCATATTTCAGGGTGACCATGCCACTCTTTATCACAACCCTGCTAAAAGTGCCAGTACGTGCGCTCATTGGCGCCCCTTTAGCTGGTGGTGCCCTAGGCGACCGCCTAGCTCGCCTATGCCTAGAAACGGCCCTGCATGTGAGTATTGGCTGCAAAAATTCAGCTTTGCAATCACAGAAATATATAAAATATATTAAAACAGAAAACTAATTATTAAACTATTAAATTATTAAACAGTTATTTTAAACTTTAGTAATATTTCACAATATTATTGTTTTAGTGTATTAATCAAACAAATGCAGCCTTGGTGAGCATAAGAGACATCTTTCAAAAACATTTTTTAAAATCCCACCGACCCCAAACTTTTTAACGGTAGTGTTTGCAATAAAAACATATACACAGTTGGCTCCATCTCTTCAAATGTCTTTACCAAACTCCTCTCTGCACTAAATCAATATAGAAGCTTACATACAGAAATCAAACGATGTAATGTAATAATTAACTACTCTTGCCCATTTTGGTGTTTGTTTCATGGTTTCACAAAATCAGTGTCTGTACAATCCACACACAATCACCACTTTCAATATGTTAAAGACATTTTTTACAAAGTTAGATATTGCATAAAACTATGGCCTGTGTCCATACTTCAATAAAATCTTGTCAATCATTTGGTCTGAGTAAAAGGTTAAGGTTAAAATGCTTTTAAACAAAAAGCTCTAATTAACATCTATCAATTACCATTGTCAAATATTTCACTGAGAAAGGTAATTAGAACCAGCAGCATCTATCTTCATAATATGATGTACACTCCATACGCCTCTGTCCCTGACCTTAGGTCATGGTTTTTGGTTTCTTTGGCATCTCACTTAAAACATAGCTATACAATACAGTAGTTATTTACAAATCAATAATAATAGACTTACCATTTTAGGTGTAAATTCTTGCAATGTGGGCCTAATATTATTATATTTATCATAATCTATCATTATAATAAATCTTTAATTTACCTGAAATGTTTTGATATGATATTTATCAACGCAGAGAAAGTCTAACACTCAACGTGTCCTGTTAAAATTGCTTCAGTATTTCCTGGGTGAAAATGACACCATATCATTGACCATGCAATTTCACTGAAGCTGTTCTAGTTTGTCATATCTTTTAGAGAACACGGACTCAAAACAAGGCAATTACCCAAGCTGCCATTCTCTCTGGTACACACAGTGCCATAGCTGTGTCTCCAAAACTAGTGAGCTGCCTATCTAGACATGATCATCCCAAAATGATGTCTACATAGACAGCTCACTAGGCTATGAACAGCATCCCATATATAAACATTCTGTGCAATATATGCGTGTTAACTTTGAGCAAACAGAAATGATAACCACAAAAAAAACACCTTTAAAAAGACTCCCTGGGGTAGCACGACATCGTGACGTTTCCAAAAAGTGCCTGACAATGACTACTGTTTTCTCCGTTGTATTATGTGATCTATGCCTGCATTAATCTATGTTGAATATGAATTAAATTCGCTAATGTCCACATTTGCAAATCCTCGAGCAGTTCACCATCCATTTCATCACGCAAATGACACATTTCACGATCGATCACACAATCAACTCCATCCGACGGAAATATGCGATTGCTCAGGCAGACGTCATGAATTTCGGGAGGAAACATTAAAAATCCAACGTTTTCATTGTCCTTACCAAATGGTTTCGTGCACAGCCTGTAAAGGATTTGTAGAAGGACCTGCATGCCAATGAAAGCTGTGATGAGGGTTTTGTGCCTCCAGTACTCATTTCACAAAATACAAATAACAGAAATGTAACGTTACCTGATCTAACGGAAGGTTGGTTATCTCGCTTATTGGCTGTAGTAAGTCGGATCCGGTGCAGGCTGATATCGTCTCAGTAGCCATGTTTCGCTATTGTATCAGTTCTGTGCTGTTCTCTATGACTGTGGCAGCGCAGTTCGCCCGGATTCAATCCCACATCCACATACACCTCTGGAGAGACTGTTGCTGCTTGCTGCTGTCCACTGCTGGTAAAAAAACGGCAGTACAACACCCCACAGTTCGCCAAACAACCGGATTTACAAATCCTACTACAGTGAAGGCTTCGCTCATGAATATTAATTACGTAACTTGGCGTTCGGCCGAACTGATTGGCCAGACGTTGGTAACTGTGCCAGACTTTACTTTGATGGGGAGTCTGACTCATTTCCGCAAAACTTTCGACCAGTTCCGACGTTTTTTGTTTCACGTCTTCTCTTCTGCTCCGTCATTTCGTGGCTATCTGAAATGTCATAAAAATAGAAAAACAGCCTATAAAAGCTGTTATTGAGTACTATGCATTAAAGTATTATTTATTTTTATAATTACATTAATATTTACATTTACAATGCAACCAAAAATATTCACCTATTTAGGCTTAAAGTTTTTTTGTAATGTTTTGATTAATACATTTTTATTAAAACAAACTGCTTCGCAGGAGTTGATATAATCAAGTCATAAGCATATCCAGCGATTTGCAACATTTCTGCTATTTAGTTAGAATGCAAACAGTTTAACGAGTCGGTAAATCGCTAGCACACTCTTATATTAAATAATTATACATCTACGAAAAAAAACGGAACGGAAAGTGGTTTAAAGTCATATTGCAGGTTATTTTTTTACAAAATGAATATATAACCTTGCATGAAAATACCATATGAAAAGTTAATGCAGGATTTAAAATGTTTTACAAGACATTAGTGCTCAAATTTAGTAGAAAAGGTGAGTTTCTTTGACAGTTCTCAAAATCGGCTTTTTATTTTTAAACATCCCGTCATTTTACGTCACGAGAGGGAGTCGTTTGCCGCGCTCTGTTTTGGCTCAGTGTGAGTGCAGAGAGAGTAGGTTGGTCTTCAGTGGGAGCGGTCGTGAGTAAGTGTGTTTTCGGTAGGTTTTGTATTTCAATTTATCATCGTCATGGTAAATTATTGTGTTTGTGGAGGCTGCACATACTCCAGCCTGTCAGGAAATCGAGTCCACAGGTTTCCTAACAAGAAAAAGGGTGCTATCTTCCGTGCATGGGTGCGTTTTGTGCAGGTGAAGAGACGGGACTTCACTTCTGCATCTGCTTCGAAAAATGCGGTGGTGTGTAGGGTTCACTTTAGACCGGAGGATTGTCATCCAGGCGATATGATGGAGTTCAACATGGGATGCCGAAGCAAGAACCAAGTGAGACTCAGAGCTGGTGCTGTTCCTTCGGGAGAGAGAGCAAGCGCAAATCCTGGCAGCGGCAGGTCGCAGCACCACTTCCGGTGGCATCCGCAGCTGCCACAGTCTTTCTCGCCGTTTCTGCTGTTTGCTCGGTAAAACTACACTGTTCTCAGTGGCGTGCGGGGATGTTTTTTTTTAAATGATGATGCAAAGTTCTCACAATTGTATTATTATTATTATTATTATTATACATTTTGTATCAGTTGCCATAGTTCTTGCCAGGAGTCAAAGGCAGCTGCCAGAGTTCGTGGCAGCTGCCACGGTCTTTCTCGCCGTTTCTGCTGTTTGCTCGGTAAAACTACACTTTTCTCAGTGGCGTGCGGTGTTTTTTGTTGCTTTTTTTTTTACACAATAAAACATGCCGTGGCATCTGGGGATGCCACCGGAAGTGGCGCTGCGACCTGCGGCTGCCAGAGAGAGCGCCAGTCCCTGCTGTCCTTCGGTGCACAGAGCACCTTCATCGGGTCCGCCGTCAGCCTGTAGTTTCGGACTGCGGTAAAGTTAGTTTGACGTTTGACATTCATTAGACATTCGGGTTTTTTGCCA